GTATCTTCAAGTTAGTTTTCACTTATAATAAGATTAATTTCTTTCTGGTACAGTCAAAGACATCCTATCTATATTGAAACTAAGAAATTTATTAGAAATTATTCCTTTAATCTCTCTAAAAAATCAAATCTTACTCAACAAGCAGCCATAATTGCAACTATGTTCATTAAAATATGACAAATGAACACATCTATTTGTGTTAAGAGAATAATAGGTATTATAGTGTAGTTCATAATGACCTTCATTTTACCATTTGACCTTGCCCTAACAATAGCACAACCATGTATATACATGAGATACTATAATCTCTACCAACAAGAGCTTAGCCAATACATTATTTATTTCAAATTTGATCAAATATAAGTATATCATCATTTACATTTCATATCTCCACTTTTACACATAGATTTCAAATTATCTTTTCTTTTTTTTTTTTTTAACTTGTAGGGCACACGTTTAAGGACAAAATTTTTAATATTAATTGGCTTTAAAAAATTAGAGTTGATCTTTATTTAATCACTTGACTAATTAAAATAATTTATAATTAAAATAATCTATATGACTTTTTTTTTTATTATTTTCAATACCAATTAATATCATAGGGATGTATAGCTACATGTTAATGGCACAAATTGAAAAAATCCTTCAAATTATTATTTATAATTTATGAGAAACTATCTCAAGTCACTCTAAACAACCTCGGATCGAATCTTAGTGATGCCTAAAAGTAGTTTAGTCCTCAATTGCCATAAGTTAACTTAGATTTGAGGTGACATGCAGTGTCATAAATCTTTGATCTAATACTTTTACAAACTCAAATATAGAAAGGCTATAGCTAGACCAAAAAGACTGAAATTTACTAATGACCTTTTTTAGAGTATATATAATTGTTTTTATAGCTGTATCATATAATTTCTTGAAGAAATTATGCGTATTACAAAAAAAAAAAATGATGCATATTAAAGTTTTAATCGGTGTCAAGTTATGCAAGTACTTGTTAAATTACTCTCAGGGGATTCAACACCACTCAATAACAAGAAAGATTAAAGGTCAAAGGAAGGAGCTTGAGAGTTGGAACCATGTGTGGCTTGGTGCATTAGCCAGGGTACAATATTCCTGTATGGATCTTCTTCTCTTTTCTGCTTCAAGCAAGCAATGCATCTCCCAACCTTCGACTTTATATGTAAATACAGTTGATGAAATTTCTCCTTATCTCTCAGTTTTTGCTTTCTTCCTTTTATATAACATTACTAAAATTCCCACTTTTAGCAACCCCTTATGGGCAAAATGGTTGTCTTTTTCGGTGATATAAATTTTCATTGGCAAGGACTATGTTGCTAAAAGCGATATAGTACATATTTCCACCTAAAAGTGAGCTCCACTTTCAGCAACAAGGAACATGTTGCTAAAAGTGAATTTCAGTGACAAGGAATATGTTGCTAAAAGTGAATTTTAGTAACAAGGGACATGTTGCTGCAATTCTCTAGTCACCTGAAGCATTAGCAACATATACCATATTGCTAATGTTAGACATTACCAACAAAAACCATGTTACTGTTATTCCAATGTTTTTAGCAACCAAATGTTAGCAACAAGGAATATGTTGCCAATATTACCCTTCCCTAGTACTGCTCTAAAGGTGAGGATGACAATGGGGGGGATGATGACGGCTGAACCTTGGCTCGGTACTGGTGAGAACTTGGACATACCCACATGGATTCTCATTGGGACAACTAGATTTGGTTGAACCCAAGCTAGGTACTGGTGAGAACCCAAGCTATAGATTCTCAATGGGAGAACCTTGGGTTATTTTGTTTACTTTATTCCTAAATTCTTTCTAGCCAAACTCATGTTTATTTTAAATTGGAAAGCAAACCCATAAACCCATATTTTTGCAACTTCAATTGATTTGGGTTCTTATGAAGTCTTTTGGGTTGTTTTATTTTGTTTTGTTTTCATACAAATGGGTTGGGTTCTTTCTTTCTTTCTTTTTTTTTTTTTTTTGGCCATCCTAATTTCGTTTGTTTGTTTCTTTTCCAATCTTCTTCTTTTTATTTTAATTTTTTTTGTTTCATACAAATTGATTCCTTTGTTTGTTTCTTTGTTCAATCTTCTTTCTATTTTTATTTTTATTTTTTTGGCTTATTTAACTTAGTTTATGATTAATTCATTTCATTATATGAGTTCTAAAATTAGTGAAAGAATCTTAAGGATTTTGCACATAAATGCAATTGGAAGTGGAAGGCTAGAGCTGGAGAAGATGAACAATGGCACCGAAGGAGGAAAAGTAGTTTCCAATTTAATTGCCTTTAATTAATACTCAATTAAAACCTTTAATTACAAGTTACAAATTTTAATTATTTAAATTTATTAATACTTTCTCTCTTAAGAGGAAAGACAAAGTAATTCTTATATAAGATTAATAAAATTATAAATATTGATGTAGGGCCTACCATATGAAAAAGATAATAGGTAGGAGAGGATGAAGATATGACTAATTAGAGTAAAAAATGACAACTCATTAAAATTTAATGTATTGTTTTCCACATCATTAGTAAAAGAAGAAGAAGAAGAAGATAGATTTTGTAACAATTTAACAAGTGATACATTCAAAGTCGATTATAGATGACCAAAATTCGACTTCCAAATTCTAGAGAGTTGGGAACATCTTGGTGCAAGGCATAGTTGACTCTCTATGTAAAGAGTCAACTCTTGAGCCGTAAAGAGTCAAATCTATGATGATAGATTCGACTTTTGAGCCTTTAAGAATCAACTATAGAAGCTCAACATTTGACTCCCAAATTCTAGAGAGTTGTGAACATCCTAGTGCATGGCATTGTCAACTCTCTATGTAAAGAGTCGATTCTTGAAAAGTAAAGAGTCGACTCTAAAAATATAGATTTGACTTTTAAGCTTTTAAAAGTCAACTATATAAGATTAACATTCGACTCTCAAATTCTAGAGAATTGAGAACGTTACGGGTGCTAGGTGTAATTGGCTCTCTTTGTTAAGAGTCCACTCTTAATTTAAAAAGTCAACTATTGGCCAAAAAAATTGACATAATTTTATGTGAAACGTTTATGTAGCCTAATATGTGTCATAACTCAAATTTTTAATGAAATTTTTACTTTTACTAATGTTTTTTATTTTCGTTTTCCCTGTTAGGTTTGTGAGCAAAAGGGGGAGTTTATGAAGAGGATTGGAAAAGAAGATGAGAGAAAGGACTCAATTAAAGAAATAAAAAGTTGGAGGGATGAAGTTCATCAAGACAAATTTACAAACCCAACCCAAATCTCAATAATGAGCCCATTAAAGCCAAACCCAATCTAATACCAACCCATTTCAATTTAGAGCCCATTAACTATTCCAGCCCAAACCCAATCCCAAAACTCACCGTTTTCATATAAGCATAAAAACCAAAAAATGCCAAAGTCTTCTTCCTTACCCACACTCACCCTCGCTATCGGCCTTCTCTCTCTCATCTCCCGAATCTTCCTTTCAGCCGGCGACTGAGCTTCCCTTCCATACCCAAAACCTCTTGGATTTCCTCTTCACCTTCCACGCGACCCTTGGCTTCTCTCTTCCTTCGGTTTCCTCTTTCTTTCTTCATGCAGATCCTCGACCTCGCCCTTCTCTTCCCGTTGCAGAGCAACCGGCAGCCATCTCCCAAAAGGCCACCGGCAACCATCTTCTTTCTCCTTCTCCTTCTCCTTCTCCAATTGTCGGTTCCTTTCTTTTGATCTCACCATCTCCGACTCCCTTCCACATCAAAGTCCCTGGTTGCACTCAATCGGGAAGCCATCACCCACACTCACCTTCTCGAACCACTGCCGCAGTCCAGCATCACCTACGCCCAGCGAGTGAACAGAAGAACAGGAGCAAATGAAGCCGGATCTATTGGTTGCTGACGGAGTTGCTATTCACGCGATGACGCCGAGAAGAAGCTTCCTGAGAACTCCCAGTTTGACTGCAGATCTGATCAGTTTCTGTTCAGATCATTCTTTCAGCTAAAAGGGGATTCGATATGGGCTGTTTTTCTGCATATCAAGGCCCAAAATCACATTTCAAAAGTTCGGGATATGTAGATCCAAATGGGCAGTTCCGAGTATTGGCCTGTTGAGTGTTTTAGATTCTAGGGTTTTTCCCTCACTTGGGAGGAAAAGTAGCCTACTTGAGTCTTTCACCCCCTTATTTTATATTATAATATTTTAACTCTTTTTTTTTAATTTGTTGGTTTTAAATCCTCACACTTTATATTTATTAGGTTAGGTTACTTTTAGCTATTTACTTATTAAAATTAAAAAAAATAT